AAAATAACTTCAGCTTTCATACTCGTAGAACTATAGAATAATACCATGAAATTTTAACTTTCAAATGTATTGTGAAATATCTGTTTTTTAATATCAAATGGTGAAGAAATCATTAAGATTTTTCTTTTTTGAGAAAATATTAGAAGCAATAATATAGAAATAAGATGTTATGTAGAAAATTGTATATCTTAGAGTGTATAAAGTCTGAACAGTTATAGTAAAAGTAAACAACAGCAATTGGTTGGCAGGAATTGTTTAGAGAACAGACACAAGGCAGCTGTGATGGAAATCTTGAAAATTATATATACAGTTTATTGTATAGAAATAAACTTGTCTAACTTTTATATGTCAAGTGGTTAGTTTTTTTTACCTAGTTTTTTTTTGTAATTTGTCTTTTAGTCAACCTATGCATGTTTCGGTAGTGACAAAAATTAAAAATCATTAGAAGTGGTTTTTAAAACACTTTTATGATATACAACAAGAAAGGTGTTATCACATGAAAATGTTTTTTCAGTTTAAAGGGAGTTAAATTGTGTTTTATTTTCCTGCTTTAGGATTTGTTGAGAAAAGTGCAGGAAATCAATGTTTATGATTAATATCAGGTTCAATGCATTAGCCTGGATATTTGAGGAGATATTGATAGTTGTTGAGTTTAACAAGCTGTTTTTGCCACTGGGATAAACTGGAGGTTTTTAATTGCAAAATTGTACATGCTAAACTGAAAGTTATTTTGATATTAAATTGAAATTTGATTTTATAGTGTACATTTAGCAAATGTTGTTTGTTAATATTCATGGTAAGTGGATTTTATATTTCTGTAGTGAATATTACTTGTGTTAATACAGTAATGGTGTGAATTAATGTATCTATTATGCAGTGAAATGAACATACAAAAATTTCTATGAATGTATTAATGTGAAATGGTAATATATTGAAAGATCTACCTGTGTTGAGTAGTTAGAAGTAGATTTTAAAATGTACCAGGTGTTGGCAATATATTAATCTAAGTACTGAATTCAGAAAGTTTTATTTAAGAAGGAAACTATTGCGATACTTCCTTATGAAATCACCACAAAACTTGATATCCTGTCCGTCTTGTGTCATGTTTATTGTTAGTGTATTGCCAGATCTGGTAACACTATTACGTACAGTACAGTGGCAATACAGTAATGACAAACTGAGACATTCAGAAAGTCAAAACACTGTTGTATTAGGAATGAGTGAACTATTTTGAATTTCAGCTCTTTTCAAAGACAGTTTTATTTAAAATAAAGACCAATGATGATAAATTGACAACTAAACTAACATTAGATATCAGGTGAAAATATATGGAGAAAAGAAGAACACCTGTATTGTTTTTATTGTTTTTATATTGTAATGGTTACTATTCAGTATGTTACTTGTTTACCTGTGCAATTGTGCTTATACCAAATTAAATGCATGAAATTTATTTTTCAAAAGTTAACCAGACAGTAATATGTTTTTACGGATATTGGAAATCAATGAATCTGTAAATGCATCCTAATGAAATTTGTATAAATTTTGCAAAGGTGTTTAATTTCACAGGTTGATTTATTGGGAATTTGGGAATCCTTGTTCATGTAGAGGAAACTTTGTATAATTCATGAATGTATGAAAACATATAAAATGACAGATTTTTTTTTGTGTTGTGAATTTTATTTAAAGACAGAATTTTCATTTTGTTTTCAATATCATAGATTTATTTTTCAAATGAAGATTTGATTTGTCTTCCTTTGACAGTATAATTATGACATTTTTGTGTTTTCATCTGCCAAGTTATTCTGAGTGGCATATTAGTTTCAACATGATTTTGATAACTATCCAAATTCTTTGTGAATTTTTACAAGAACCATTATTGTACAGTATACATGAATTCTCAATAATGAAAGTAAAACATTTGAACTTGCATATACATAAAGTAAGATGTTCTTTTAATCTAGAGATGAAAAGACGCAGGTATAAGCCGTATCCTTTATACAATTAAGCTAGTTTTAAAATGAAAGTGTGTGGGGATTAGTGGACGTTAAGTTGTGGAATTATTGGATAATTTCAAAATAAAAACATGAATGCGTGTAAACTATCTGAGGTATGTTTGCGAATAAAGAAATCAATTATTGATGAGGTACATTGATCATTATCAATGAAGACATTTTATAATGAATCAATATTCTGTGCATTAGCAGATTTTTAACTTGAACTGAACCTAGAGATAACATTGACAGGCTTCTTTGTTTGCCCTGTCTGATTACTGAGATAAAAATGACCTTGGAACTGAGTCAGAATATATTTTCAGATTCAATGTAACCACTGCCAATACAGTGCATTTGGGGCCCTCTGTTTTGTTATTTAAGATAATACACAGTACGTTTTAACTTTTCATTAAAAATATAAGGAATATGAAATAGGAGAAAGGGGTGGAACAAATGGTCATTAGAAGTAAAACCAAGTAAATTGTATCTACCTGGATTAATTTAAATGTAACGTAATTGTGAGATAAGGCCCAGGACACCAGTTAGTCTGTTGTAAGGTACCGTATGCTTATTTTGTCATGTCGGGTTATGATCTAAGTTCCGAAGATGCAATTTTGTTAGGCACATTCAGTATTATTGTCTCAGAAATTTAAGTGACAAAGTGTTAATGGCATTAATTGAATAAGATCTAAATATACATATAGTATCATCCTTAAATTGTTTGAAATCAGTCATGCATAATGTACTTTCATGATTTCCTTAAACTTTTGAATTATCAATCATTAATAGCCATATTATATCAAAAATTTCAGCCAATCTTATTAACTAAAATAAAACAGGATGAAAAGGAGAATCTCTTTGTTCAAGATATTCCCTGAAAGTTTGATAGGTTGAAAATACTTTTACCAGAAGGAGTCAAATTTCTCGGTAAATCAGGGTGTTTACATGCCTGGAATACTATTGCTAAATTTTCTCAGTTTTCCTCCATTGATGTTAAAGTCTGGAGAGATTCCAGTAATTAACCAACCATTCATCATAACTAGCATGCATGTAGTTGTTACCTTGTGCTTTCTAATATTGTTAGCAGGATATATAGGTGTTCAAAGTCTTAACTGTATTTTTAAACCTGAGCATTTGTTACTTTTGCTCTGTGTGTGTGTGTGGGGGGGGGGGGGGTGTGTAGTACAAGAGAATGGCACAAGTCAGGCAGCAAGTGGTTCTCTGAAGAAAAATCCAGTTACAGGCAGATTGTTATTTTATTTTTATCATCAGTGGGTCTGGTAAAATGACAAGGGCATTAATGAGACAATTCTGTCAAGATTTATAGTGCCCACATTATAAATGTTTCAAAATTTTGTTTTCTAAACTAGCGGGTATGTTAACAGAGGGGGGGGGGGGGGGTTTTATTATATTAGAATTATGGCACTGAATGATAAAAGAAAACTTTGCTTGTAGCATATTTAATAATAAAAAATTTATTATGTGGACATGGGAGATAATCTCGTTTAAGGTCTTATATGGCTAAATTAAGTGATATATCCTTTGTACTAGGGGCAATTACCTGGCCATTTGTGATTCAGTTACAAAAAAACTATTACCATAACGCTGATTTTTACAGAATTGATAGTTAAATACTGTTAAGGAAACAATACCTTAAAATATCCAATTACCTCTTTATTAAGCTGTGGATAGATAATAAATAATTGGGGAATGTATCTACTTATTTCTAGATTATTGTGAATTTCAGAATAAATGAACTTTCTCTGTATCGTGGACCTTTGACAGTATCACAGTGGTTATAAAAAGAACCTGAAACAATTGACTGCTTAAACTGACCACAGGAAATTTGTATTTATGCATGACCAGTCCAGTGGACAAAATTGAAACAATTGCTAAAATTCTTTGTTTTACATTATACAGCAGAATGTGCCTGTGAATATATCATTCATGTCAATCAGTGTACTGTAGGAGCATGTATGTGACATTTTCACTCTTACTAGTTGATTATTTCGTGGATGTCCTGTTACATTCCTGTAAGTCAAATGTGTCTAATTTGGGAGAAAATAGAATATCAGCAGATGAATATTTCATTACTTTGAGAGAGAAGTTGGGTTTTTTGGTGAATATTTAATTTCTGTGTTGTGTTTCACACACCTACACGGAATATTGTCTAAACAAAATTAGATTGTTCATTATTGGATTAAAATGTGTAGATTTCTTGCCGCATTTATTGTTCATTCATGGATGCCATATTCGATTTAAATAATAGTTATGAACTTTCAGCTTTTTGGTTTATTGTCAATTATTGGATCTTAAAAATTAAATTGACTTTTGTACACTCATCAAAAGTGGAAAATATTGATACATATCAACGAAAACAAGAAAGATGTCGACTTTAAATGACTTTTAATTTCTGTGCGGCAGTAGACAGAATATGTGTAACGATCCAGATGCTGAATAATGATGTACAGCAATTGACAGTTGGACAATCATGTTATTAATACAAGGACAGTTATCACATACTGGTATACATATTTAACTTTAACATAGAAACAGTATAATAAGTTATAATATCTTTGGATGTACAAGCTCATCAGTCAAGTTCCCTAATGGACATATGGATGTGTTACTTCAGCCGTCTGAAGAAATATTAATAATTTTATTCCTGTTAACAAAAGCTAAATAATTTGGTCATGATCAGGAGACAGAAAAAGAAGACATTGTACATTCTGCTCTATTTAAATAATGCAGGAGATATTAAAGACCTCTTATGTAAACATGATGTTAACTTCTTGTAAAATCATGAAATGTAAGACAATTCTACATTGTTACATTAGTGAGTATAAATCTGTTACAATAAATGTTGCTTTTTATATTTCACGAAAGGAAGAATTAAAAGAGCGGAAGCATAAATTTCCTGACACTTGAGTCCCTTGATAGTCTTTGTTGTTTGTTAATGACATAAAACTTAGAAAAATATACTAATCACTGGTTAATTTAAAGTGGTTAACTGACATGGAAGTAAGTGATGATAGTGAAAAAAATAATAACATTATATGATAATATTAATAAACACAACAGAATTGTATATTTTACTTTGGTTATATAAAGTGTGAAACATGTCGATCAGATTTCTAAATGATTGTTTTCCAAGGAAAGAGCCAGTGGATGGGTTTGAAGATGTTCATATTGAAAGCTGTGACAGGTAACAATATTTTAATCATATTGTTCATTCCATGGTTCTGTATTAAATATATTTACTATTGTCATCTTAAGTCAAGTTATACAGAGACTTCTTTTACCAAGAGGGATAAAGATTTAGAATCGAAATTCATCAATTTATGGACCATAATCCCATGCTCATCCTGTTTGAATAAATTATCAGTTGGTTGAATTTTGGGCTCAAGATAAACTTAATCTTCTTTAATATGGCAACATATCGGAGATTGACCCTTAGACTAGTACCTATTCCTGACATAGATTTCCATCTTTTTTATTTTAGTAATTTTCTTCGTTATCATACTCAAATTTGGGTAAGGTCAAAATGGCTGTTAGGCTAAGAAAGTCTTACGAGAAACAGGAACCAGTGATTAATAGTATGACAATCAATATATCAATCTATACTATCAATATATGGTAGGAAAGTCTGTCTGAAAGAAGTAGGAATGAATTTGTTTAACTGTCTGGATTCAAGCAAAAACAGTGATTGATGCTCGGTACACCTAACCTGAGTCTTCACATCCTGGCAGTCTTTGTAACAAGTGAAGATGCTGTACTTTTTGCTTCGTGAAATGGGCATTTTGATCTTGGAATCTCTTTAACCCATTGCTTCATGAGCATTTTGTGAAAAATGGCTGTTTTCATTGAAAAGTCTCTCGTTACAAGTTCAAATTGCTATATATATATAAAAACTGCTTCAACACTAATCAAACTTGGCACAAATGTTGACTGGACCAATGCGCTTGCAACAACATGCTCAGGCTTAAATTTTCTGTTACCATGGCAACGAGGGGACATCTCAAAATTGCCAAAAATCACTATTTTGCGTTGATTTTTTCCATCATAATTGATTTCAAAGTGCTGCAACTTCTCAATGGATTGAGATAGAGTCAAATGCTTTTCAGCGTTGGTTACACGTTACCTTATGATCAATCTGAGGTCATTTATAGCCTCTCACAAGTCCAAAATTTTTCTTGGCGATGAGGGGGACAAAAACAAGTGTTGGGGGCCTAAATAAGGCATTTTTTCACCATTTGAGACAACAAAAAGGGGGGGGGGGGTGAAAAGGCGTTAAAAGGCGTGTATATGAAGTAATGGGTTAACAGAAAATGATGAAAATACTTGAAATTACCCTAAATCGCGTTTTTCCATGTTTAAACATGGCCTGTCATATAAATTCGAAGAAAAATTGTTGTTTTGTAGATTTTTTGATTTTTTTCATTAACCCATTGCTTCATGAGCATTTTGTGAAAAATGGCTGTTTTCATTGAAAAGTCTCTCGTTACAAGTTCAAATTGCTATAATACTATAAAAACTGCTTCAACACTAATCAAACTTGGCACAAATGTTGACTGGACCAATGCCCTTGCAACAACATGCTCAGGCTTAAATTTTCTGTTACCATGGCAACGAGGGGACATCTCAAAATTGCCAAAAATCACTATTTTGCGTTGATTTTTTCCATCATAATTGATTTCAAAGTGCTGCAACTTCTCAATGGATTGAGATAGAGTCAAATGCTTTTCAGCGTTGGTTACACGTTACCTTATGATCAATCTGAGGTCATTTATAGCCTCTCACAAGTCCAAAATTTTTCTTGGCGATGAGGGGGACTCCGCCCCCCTTCAAACCCCCCAACCCCCTGATGTATCTTTTGGTTGGGGGGCCGCGCCGAAAAAGTGGTCACTTTTTTTAACAACATTTCTCAAACAAAAACAAGTGTTGGGGGCCTAAATAAGGCATTTTTTCACCATTTGAGACAACAAAAAGGGGGGGGGGTGAAAAGGCATTAAAAGGCGTGTATATGAAGTAATGGGTTAAAGGCACATTTAGCCTCAGAAATGAATAGCTATTTCTTAAAAATATGTTTTATAATATTTACGATAATAATGTGTGTTAATAATGGATTTAGAACGTATAAGATGCTAATTATCATAGGCAGATTGCAAAAGAATTTTTGATAAAAATAGCAAAATATACACAAAGTTGTATTCTGACTTCCAGATTAAGATATTATTTAATCACTTTAATAACTGTACTTATTGCCAAAATGAAAACTAAGCTATTCAGCTATATATGGCAAATCAGAACTGAGAACAAAAAAAAAGTTGCATTTTTAAAGCTTAATGGGTCTTGAATTTAAACAACTGATAATCACACTTAATTTAAGTAACCTCTCCTACATAAAGAAGCTTCACATTGTAGGTAATACTTTAAAGTTTAATTTAAAACACGCCTATCTGCTCAGTACATGTTACTGACTCCATATTGTATTTTTAAAACATATTTTAAGTTCACTGATAACCACTTAATAGCTTGATTCACTTTTTTTGTCTGAAGGCAATAAAAATGTACTTTATCTTCATTTTATATCAATATGTATACAATGAACTATTTAATGTTTTTTTATGAATAAATGAGATAAAAGTTAAATTTGACTTGCAGTGCAGGAGTGTTTACTATACCAGCTAGAGTCTATATATATAATTAGTTAAGAAAAACTATCAATGACTGAATTTATTTTTTTTCTTCAAGACATTATATTGTATTAATTGTTATTTCTTTGAAATAAGAGAATAAAATTTTATCAGCTTAAAGGTAAGCATTTATTATAACCTGTAAATATATCTTTTCTTATTGTTTTAAGTTTGGAACCAGTCTGTTCTTTATATTCATTGTACAGTATATTGTAGTGATGTGTAATAAATTATAATTATTTATAAAATTTAAATTTACACATGGTTGGTAGTGTGTTTTCAGTGCTTATGGTTTAGATGAAAGAAATATTGAGTGTTATGCCAGTACAGTCTGACCTATAGCTGAACATTTGATCAACTGCTCTGCATTTTGGCCTTGGAATCTTAGTAACATAAGCAATTGATTAATTATTCCAAATAAAAACCAAGGCATATATATCTAATTATAAGTGTTATATTCTACAAGATTTAGGGCTTCAGCTACATTTGTAATTTACACAATAAAGTTTTTATTCCTATAAACCGGTAAGACAGATTAGCATTGCTATACACATGTATAATTATCCATGTATTTTAACTTAATTACACACAACGTGAGAATATTGTGGCTGGAAGTGAGGAAACCACTACTTTGTACTCTTAAGTTGTGCTGGCGACAAAATTTCCGCAACACTCCTTGTTCAATTGATAAGAAATTATAAAGATAAAATTTGTTTCTGAAATCTCTTCTGGGTTTTAAAATGGCTTTGGCTGCAGCTTTTTATTTTGCTGTCTTTAAGTTTCATATAATAATGGATATTGGTTTATTTTGGTGTTTAGTTGGTCTTAAGAATTGTTTTATCAAAAGTAGATTACTTTAAAGGATTTCCACTTAGAGAAAAAAAGTCTCAAAACAGAAAGATTTGTAATTCTTACATAGATCAAGTGAAGCACTTAAAGTGGAGAAATCTGCAAAGGATAATGAAGAAATATGCTCTGAATTAAATTAAAAATCAATTCTTGTGCCATTCTTAGCCAAATTGAAGTTAAAGGGTTGCAAATTGTTTTCATTTTGGGGTCATTTTGCACAAAATAAAAATGATAACTCTGGAAAAAAACAGAACAAGGGAATAATCTGAAAATGTGCACACAAGTTATAAGTCAATACCTACAATAATACAGAGGACTTTAAAAAATATTTCTAGCCCCATCCTGTCAAAAAACCTTAGTGAGAGTCCTCTTAATAGGTATTATATTTCTTTTACAATTACTAAAGTTTTAGAGAAAATATAGATTTGTCATTATAGAAATCATACTTGACTTCATTGTAACAGTTTCCAGTGATTTATAAACTACCACATTTCTATCATTTTATGACTATTTTTAAGAAACAATGTGTCATTTGTTTACCTTGGCACTATTCATGCATTGTAATTTGCATTTTCTTTCCTGCAGAACCTATAAATTTTCAATAATTCTGTGTTTGCACAGCCATGCATTCAGTTGACAATGATCAATATATTAGGTGAACATGCATTTTAATGATCTCATATTCTAACAGGAAATAATTGTGAAAACCAATATTTTTACCAGGTTGTTCAAAGGGAAAATGTCAACCCAAAGTATTACCAATTTAGAAGCCAATATTTCTACTCTCATTCTATAAAATGATGTAAGAGCACGAAAAAAAGAAATGTTAAAATGTATTGATTTGAGAAAGCTTAGTAATACATGCATATCAGTGAGTAATTCATGGGCTGCATCATGATTATTGTATGATGCTGTATGGTAGAGGTTTTACTGGAGCTGACTTCTAATGTCACCTGGTTGGAAACCAACATGATCAGGTATCTTTCCTTTATAGAAATTATTGATCTCTTTCATTCATAAATTCTTGCTTCTTTTCTTAATATTGTAACAGTTGGTGTTTTTTTTATCATCAATCTGTTGGTGGTATTTCTGTTATTGTTTGTTATTAGAAAATGTCTAAAGACTGTTCATTTTCACTAAATGTGTTAATTCAGGGAGCCTTTTGTTAAGGCAATATCAGCTTTGATTTTAATGTCAAGTTGTTATAGATGTGTGTGGTTAAACTTGCTGTGTTATCTTTTCAATGGTCTGCCCATTTAGTTTAATAGAGAGAGCATAGTAATTCAGGAGTCCCTGGTTTGATCCTCTGTCAAGGCTTAATATCCCTGGTACCGATTGAGTCTAATGGTCAGTCGTCTACCGTTGCTGATAAAGAAATCACCAGGGATTAGTACCCTGTCACTTGCAGAGAAATTGGTTATTACTGATTAGTTGTTAGGTGGATCGACTGAGACATGACTAAAAAATAGTGTGTTAAAAAATGCTAAAAAATTAGAAAAACAAACAATCTTTTCGATAAAATAAAGTTGTCCTTTACATTTTCAAGCGAATATAATATTATAATTTATGCATACTCATTTATTTGAAGGTAACATGCACAATCATTGATTGATAACCTTGTATGTTTGAAATTTGGTGCTGTTTGTTTGACTAAAATGGA